ATTCATATACTTAGCTTATATTAAGCTTTCTTTTATAGGTACATGTTCGGCCACATATTGGGAGCTGATTTAAAACTAGCATGGGAGTCAATGAGCTAGGAAAACTTTCATAAGATGACTCGGGAGATCATGAAGAACAAATGATGAAAAGTTGTCAGCTGACCTCCGAGCTCACAGCTCACTTGAGCTGGACTTTTGAGCTAGCTAGAGACTTATTTTCAGCTGGAGAGTTGCACCATCATCTTCACCACACAGAGCACTACAAATATGGTCTAGGTCAAATTTTGTGAATTCATACCTTTTCGCGAAGAGTTGCCAATCCGAGAAGTGCCCTTTCACAAGGAGCTTTCCTAAGACTCATTGTCATGTATTGCATCTATGGCCAGCTCATCTTCAGCTCAAACACATTGGAAGTAGCTCAAATGATGAAAGGTTGCCTTCCACAAATGTGACCTTTCATAAATAATTGCTGCCCCATTGACACCATGTCATCTAGAAGCAAGTTGGATGCAAAGTCACACCTAAGTTACTGCTCAACTTCACGCCAAGTAGGAGACACACCATAAGACCCCAAACCACCCATGTGAGTGCCTCATGACCAGCCCACACATGTACCATGCGTGTGGATGAAATGGGCGCCAAAATGAAGAGGGTTCTCTCTATTCGGCCTAGGTATCCTTTTGATTCAAAATTAGCGCCAAGATGAAGAACAAGGAGACCATTCGGCCAAGGACATCTTCATTCATTAAAACATCATGTATTTCTATTTAATAGTCATGTATTTAGCCGAATGGACACCTATTTATTCGGCCAAACCTATGCTAGCCTATAAATAGGCTTGGATATTTCATTTGTAAGACAATCCTTTTGATAATTAAAATCCTTTTGTGAGATTATTCTCTCTTCAAGTTCTTTTTAGAACTATATCGATTAAGCAAGCCTTTCTAAAGCTTGTGGCGTCATTCCTTCACCTTGATACTTCTGGTTCCTATCTCCTATAGATAGAGGGTCAAAGTCCTTAATACCATCCCTTATAACGACTTATAAGAAACGGGTCTTTGCTCCTTTATAGCATTGGTTCCTTCTTAGTCTTATAAGATAATATATATTCATTACCACCTTCCATCATCACTATCACGCCAACTCCATTCCATTAATATTTTCATCACCATTATCCATATCCCTTCACACCCATATAATCATCATTCATCATCAACAAGGCATTCGTCCATTTACCACCATTAGAGGCTGAATCCATCATCACTTGAAGGATCATTCTACAACACTTCCGCAACCCTTTTTTGATAACTATTCTATCCATTTCCTTTCTTAATTATTCATTTACTTAACCAATTATTCTTCTTTTGTGCATATTACTTTTCAATTCAAGGCGTAGCATTTGGTGTCTCTCCTAGATCGGGAAACAACAAGGTTGCCAATTTCTCCATTATTGAAGAAGCCTGGTCAGCCTTACATCAAGTGGTATCAGAGCTTTGGTGGATTGACATTCAAAGTGCTACAACAAAAAAAGCAACAACAAAGAAGAAAAAAAACAAAAAAAGAAAAGAAAAAGACTCCTACATCAAATTTGTAGTGCAAAAGAAATAAAAGAAAAGAAGAAAATTCAAAGCAAAAGAAAAAGTTAAGCAAAGTTGCAAAGTACACTCAAAGAGAAGCATATTACCATCTGCCCAACATCAAACTAGAAGGAGGTATCCTTGTTGTTTCTTGTGAAGGAAGATAGTAAGTGTTGCAACTTGAGTTGTAAGTTATCTTCACTTTCTTACTATTTCATTTCCTTTTCTTTCATCTTTTCTTATTTCATTACTTTATCCTTTTCTTAACCTTTTCTATCCTACCTTTACCATAACCATTTCTATACCCTAACCATATTGTTTTAAGCCACTAAGAAACTTGCTCAATCTTGAGTTAGTTATTTAAAGGACCCACAAGAGAGAATTGAGCGGTAAAAGGCAAACGAGTGGGTGAGATCAGAAGGGGGATCAGAAAAAGCCAAGAACATATCCCCAAGTGCAAACATGCGTGTGAGTGGAGTGACATTTTAATTTCTTTGGAGTGTTACTGTGAGGTTTTGTGAGAGTGTTCTTGGTAAGGTCCTTTTCACATTTTCATTCTTTATTTCACTAACAATTTTTCATCTTTTCAATGGAGTATGAACAGCAAAGAATGAATGCATTTCACACTCATTTCCATGTAGATGGTAAAGTGTGTCTTGTAGCTATTAACGGAGGAAGTTGTACAAACATTGCAAGCACATACATGGTGAACAAATTGGGGCTTTCAACGATTAAACATTTATATCTATTTCAATTCTTTCCATTTCCATTTCCTTTTTCTTTCTTAATTATCAAGTTACTTAATCAATTCTTCTTATTTTGTGTAGATTACTTTCAATTCAAAGTATAGTGTTTGGTGTCTCTCCTAGATCGGTAAACAACAAGACTGCCAACTTCTCCATTATTGAAGAAGCTTGAATAGTCTTACATCAAGATCAAGCTTATTTTTTAATGTCAAAACTTCACGGAGCAAAAGAAAGTAAGGCTTGCTGTTATGAAATTTATAGACTATGCCCTAGTTTGGTGGGATCAATTGGTAAGTTCAAGAAGACGAAATGGTGAACTCCCAATCAATACTTGGGAAGAAATGAAGGCCATTATGAGGAAAAGGTTCGTTCTTACTCACTATCACCGAGATCTTTATCTTAAGCTACAAAATCATAAACAAGAAAGTAGAAGCGTTGAAGATTATTTCAAGGAGATGGAAATAGCCATGATTCGAGCCAATGTTGATGAAGACAGAGAAGCAACCATTACAAGGTTTTTATCTGGCCTAAATCCTGAAATTGCTAACCTTGTTGAACTGCAGCATTATGTAGAGATTGAGGAGATGGTACATATGGCCATGAAAATCGAACGAAAGATTAAAAGGAAGGTCTTCAATCAGAATAATACAAATTCGGCCACTAAATGGAAACAAGAGCCTAATACTTTTCGGAAGCCAACTCCAGTCCAAACAAAGGATCAAGTAACGGTAACTAAAACTACACAAGTGGGTGAATCCAGCATGGGAAAAGAAAAACCAACTAACTCTTTTGAGAGGTCTAGAGATATCAAATGCTTTAACTGTTTTGGAAAAGGACATGTGGCCAGTCAATGTCCCAACCGAAATGCTATGATAGTACTTGAAAATGGAGATGTTGTCTCAGATTCCGAAGAACCTATCTATGATGAGGAACCTGAAGCAATCTATGACGAAGAATCATAAGAGAATGCAGACCATGGAGAAATGATTGTCTTAAAAAGATGCCTACAATCACACTCATCTAAAGAGTATTTACAAAGAAACAACATTTTCCATACAAGGTGCCATGTCAAGGACAAAGTTTGCACAATGATTATAGATGGAGGGAGTTGTACAAACGTAGCCAACACTATTATGGTTGAAAAACTTGGTTTGCAACATCAAAGTATCCCACTCTATATAAAATCCAATGGCTCAATGAAGGATGTTAGTTAAATGTTACTAAACAGGTTCTAATTCCTTTTTCAGTTGGTACGTACAAGGATGATGATGTGATCCTGTTTTGCACCAACTTTTTGCATAACATACTCACATCATTGAAGGTCTATCAAGATCAATCTAGGGGAGTTCTTCCTTACTTTATATTATATGTACTTATTTATGCATTAGATGTCATGTTAGAATAGCTATGCATATCATTACAACATGTTTTTTTTAATTAGTTCATCAACTCATTTCAAGCATGTTATTATCTCATACTAGTTTGCATATTTTAATATTAACCATGCATACATTCGTGGGGTTCATAACAGCATGTTTATAATTTGTTTTGTTAAATTCACGTGCACTCGCATTCACATAACAGCATGTTCATCATTTGTTTTGTTAATTCACTTGCACCCACATTCACTTTACAACATGTTTTTCATTATCACTCATGTGCACTCATTTGAGTTTTAAGATTTAAATATTTTTAGTTATTATGTAATGCATTCATGGCTCAATATGGAACACATATGCACGGCAGCAAGGTGAGTGATTCATTCCAGCACATTTCATTTAAATACTTGTTTATCATCTTCTTTGCACATGTAGGCACGTCAAAACAGCATGGAACACATTGTTGGAACATTATAAAGAAGCACACTAATCAATAGGGCATGGGATACGATGATATCAATCTGTTCAAGCATTTTTGGAAGCTGACACACATGCTGGACAGTTTTGAGCACTTGGAAAACACACAGCTCACAAAAACATGGAAACAAAGTTTATGGGAACATGGTACACATATGTAACAGCCTGGATAAGCATTATAAAGACATAAAGTCCTTGGATCATGAAACACGTTGGAGGACATAAAATCCAGCTGAAATCAGACCCATACTTTGCTGACTAGATTATCACTCACGTATGTTGGAGGGAACCCATAATGCTGCACATGTTTCCAGCATTTATTCTTGCACCAGAATATTATCCATCAAAACAATCCATGTGTGTGAATAATATGCTCCTCTCCACTACCCAACCATGTGCGTGAACCAACTAAGCAATTACTTGAAGGATCATACGTGCTGATCAGCCAAGGAGACATATACTTTGAAAACAGCCCATGTACTTGGCACTAGCTGGATGTTGTCTCCACTTAAGCATCAATTTGAAGGAACGTGAGTATTACCTGGCCATGAAGAGTTGTCTCCATTTTACACCGAATCATCACCTGAATTCATGGAGAATTATGAACTGGAATGTATTATTTGTTAGACGTAATAGCTGGCCAAAAACACTATGTGTTATTCGGCTAAGCATTTGAAACAGATTAAATAAGCTTGTAATTTCATTTTGCAAATCAGAATTTTATGAATTAAAACATTGTGAGGTTTTCTCTCAAATTGGTTCTTCTTAGAACTATTTTCTTGACATTTCAAGTCTAATCTTGTTGTGTTAGGTTTCTGATACTTCGGGTTCTTAGATTACTATCTAACGGGTCCAAGTCCTTGAACATTGAACGTATAAGGTTCGGGTTTATACTCTTTAGTATAAGTTCTTCCTTGTTCCTTGTTGTTATCTAAATTTCCAGATTTGTATTTCACCATTATTAATTTCACCAAGTATTTATCTTTCATTTTTTTTGCCTTTCTAAAAATTCCAGCATCTTAATTCTTTATTTCTCTATCATTTCTTCATCATTTTCTTATACATTTCGTTCATCAACTTAACATACAACCCCACCATCATCCTTACTTCCAAGTAAGTTTGTTGCAGAGGAATTGTTTACTTCGTTCTAGATCCGGTACAATTGAAGAGGTCCTCAATCGACGGGCTGACTCGTATCATATGGTAATCAGAGCAAAGGTGAACAAAGTAAGAAATTCATCTTGAAAAAAAAGAATTCCGAAAATTAAAAAACAAAACAAAAAAAATTCCGAAAATTAAAAAAACAGAAAAGAAAAGAAAGTTCTTGATGTAAGGTGAATCTACACACTTTGGTGAGAGAGTAGGTAGCCTTATTGTGTCCCGATCTAGGATTGACAAGTACTGATGTCCTTGAATTTATAAGTTTGGGCTGCAAAATAAGATAAGAAAAGAATGATTAATAATGGAATTAAATAAGGGGATAATAATATAAGTAATGAAATGAAATATTAAGAACGAAATGAAATAAAGAAAGGATAGAGATGGCTGCGAAATTGATGGAAGAGATGGATGATGTTGATGATGAAAGGCAATGGTGGTGATGTTGTATCTCAAACACGCCAAAGAGGAAACTATGCTATGAAGCACAATCCCAGTCTTCACAAACTTGCTTGAGGGGTGGTGATAGTGTCTTCAACCCACTAGATATCAATCTAGGAATTTTAGAATCAAGATGGAAGGAATGACCCCACAAGTATAGGAACTATACTTGTTTAATCGATAAAGTTCACAAAGAACTTTGAAGAGAAATAACTCACAAGAGTATGTTTTATATAAGAGATGAGATCGGTACAAATGAAGGCAAGCCACTCTATTTATAGGAAATGAGAGGGCTTGGACGAATGGTTACAAGTTGTTTCGGCTAGATACATGTCTCTAGGAAAATACATAATGCTTGAGATGAATGAATAAGTCCTTTGGGCTGGTAATGGTTTGGCTAATCCTTCATGAAAAGCCTTAATGATTCGGCTAAGGATGGGAAAACATCTCCCTTGGCCGAATGGGCATGCTTGTTCATATTGGCGCCATTCTCTTCCCTTGGTCGAATGGTGGTGTGTCTCTTCATGTGTGGTGCCAAAGGCTCTCATGTACATGACATGTGATGTGGCCGAATAGGCATGGATCCTTTAGCTCATATCTCTTGGTGATTTAAGCTTCCAATAGGTGTGATCTCTTCATCCATGTGTTCCTTGTTGAAAAGGCATCTTTATGGGCAGCATCATTCATGAAAGGTCACAATGTTTGGAAAGGTAACCCTTCATGTTTGAGCTACTTTGGGTGTGAATGAGCTGGTGGTGAGCTGGCCTTAGATGACTTGTAACATGGTGAACGTTTGGGCAGCTCCTTGTAAAAAGGTACCTCTTGAGGTGGCAACTATTCGTGAAAAGGTACGATTTCACAAATTTTGACTTAGGACATATTTGAAGTGTCCTAAGTGATGATGATGAAGGTGCAATTCCCCAGCTGAAATGATGATGTGATCATGTCTAGCTCCAAATTTCTCCATGATTTGATCACACCATGGAGGTTATTCAGATCTGGTTCTAAGGGAGTTCTACCTTACTTTATCTTATATTTACTTATTTATGCACTATATATTATTATAAGCATACAATTTCATATTAGACTATGCTTGAATTATCATAACATGTGCATTCATTCATTATGTCCTATGGTTTGTATCATTGATTGTTATTCATGCATATAAACTATAGTTGTAATAATAATATTCATTCATTATCATATGATGCATGAGTTATTATTATAACCTATAGTTCATATCTTTATAATATGCACATTCTTATTACTTTATAATAATTCATATACTTAGCTTATATTATGCTTTCTTTTGTAGGTGCATGTTCGGCCACATGATGGGAGCTGACTTAAAGCTCGCATTGGAGTCCAAGAGCTATGGAAGCTTGACTAGGACAACTCCGGGACAGCTCAAGAACATTTTGGGACAAAGTTGCCAGCTGACCCCCGAGCTCATAGCTCACTTGAGCTGGACTTTTGAGCTAGCTAGAGGTGTCATTTCAGTTGGAGAGTTGCACCATCATCTTCACCACACAGAGCACTACAAATATGGTCTAGGTTAATTTTTATGGATTCGTACCTTTCCGCGAAGAGTTGCCATTCCGAGAAGTGTCTTTTCACAAGGAGCTGTCCTATGACTTGTACACATGTCCTTCATCTATGGCCAGCTCAACTTCAGCTCAAACTCATGGGAAATAGCTCAAATGATGAAAGGTTATTTCACACAAATGTGACCTTTCATAATTAGTTGTTGCCCCATTGATGCCATGTCACCTAAACACATGTTTGATGCCAAGTCACGCCTAAGTTGCTGTTCATCTTCACGCCATGGAGGAGTCCACGCCTTAAGCATTCTACACCATCCGTGTGAGTGCCACATGACCAGCCACCCATGTGCTTTGCATGTGAATGAAATAGGTGCGAAAATGAAGAGGTTTCTCTCTATTCGGCCTAAACATCATCATGCTTCAAGTTGGCGCCAAGATGAAGAGATATGGGAACCATTCGGTCAAAGACATCTCCCCTCATCCAAGCATCATTTATTTTCGTTTTAAGACATGTACTTTTGCCGAAAAGGCATGTATTTATTCGGCCAAGCCTTTACAAATCTATAAATAGGCTTTGGCATTCATTTGTAAACTATACCCTTTGATAAAATAAACTCTTTATGAGATTATTCTCTCTTCAAGTTCTTTTTAGAACTATATCGATTAAGCAAGCTTTTCTAAAGCTTGTGGCGTCATTCCTTCACCTTGATACTTCTGGTTCCTAGTTTAAATAACTAGTGGGTCAAAGTCCTTTCATACCATCCCTTATAAAACTTATAAGAAACGGGTCTTTTCTCCTTTATAGCATTGGTTCCTTCTTAGTTTTATAAGAGACAATCTGTCCATCACCATCATCACGCCTATATCATCGCCATAGTCCATCACCATTATCACGCCTATATCATCACCATATTCCATCACCATATCACGCCTATATTATCACCAACTTATAAATTTCCATTTCTTCATATTTGAATTATCCTTCATCCTCAACAAGGCATTCGTCCATCACCACCATTGGAGGCCGAATCCATCATCACTTGAAGGATCATTCTACAACACTTCTGCAGCCCTTCTTTGATAACTTTTCTATCCATTTCAATTCTTTCCATTTCCTTTCTTAATTACTCATTTACTTAACCAATCATTCTTCTTTGTGCAGATTACTTTTCAATTCAAGGTGTAGCATTTGGTGTCTCTCCTAGATCGGGAAATAACAAGGTTGCCATCTTCTCCATTATTGAATAAGCATGGTTAGCCTTACATCAAATGAGGTCATCTTGTAGCTCAAATCTTCAGCTCAATCCAGCTATGAGCTCACGGCCTCCAGACAACTTTTCACCAATTGTTCCTTGTGCACTCCTAATCGATCCCATATAAATTTCCTTGCTGTTACATGCTCTATTTAGCTCCAATACAGCTCCCAAGTATTGGTCGAATGTGCCTACATGCATAACATAAGAAAATAAACTAAGTATATAAACTTATATAATGTGTATATTATAAAAATGTGACTATAGGTTATTTAATATTCAATATGTAACATATTAAACAACCTATTATCTAATGGTTCTTTCTCATTAAAAGATTTAAAAAACATTAAGGCACTTATGAGAAAGTACTTCCATGAATTGTTTTGCCTTTGAACGAGTGATATGTCCTTTAGGCATAACTTCAAGATCCATTTGTGTAGTTGTGATCACATCATCCTCCCCTTCTTTTGAACGATTTACCCTCAAATCGTCATTGTCTTCAAATGGAGAAAAATCTGAAATATTAAAAGTTGCACTTACATTGTATTCACCAGGTAGATCCAATTTGTATGCATTATCATTGATCTTCTTGATGATTTGGAAGGGTCCATCTCCTCTATGTAACAATTTGGATTTCCTTTGGGAAGGGAAACGTTATTTTCTGAAATTCACCCACACCCAATCACTTTCCTCCAATTTTAGTGGCTTGCGTCCCTTATTTGCTTGTTGTTCATATTGTCTTATCCGTTTTTCTATATTGTCTCGAACTTGCTGATGAAGTTTCTTAACGAACTCAGCCTTGATCTTGCCATCTTTGTTAATCATGTGTTCCTGAGGCAAAGGAAGAAGATCTAAAGGTGTTAAGGGGTTAAATCCATATACTACCTCAAATGGTAACATCTTGGTTGTTGAATGGACTGCCTGATTATATGCAAATTCAACGTGTGGTAAGCATTCCTCCCAATCTTTGATGTTCTTTTTGATGATAGATCTCAACAATGTTGATAGTACTCGATTCACCACTTCAGTTTGCCCATCTGTTTGAGGGTGACATATTATGGAGAATAGCAACTTTGTCCCAATCTTATTCCATAACGTCCTCCAGAAATGGCTAAGAAATTTGACATCTCTATCGGAAACTATGGTTCTTGGAACGCCATGTAATCTCATAATTTCTTTAAAGAACAAGTTGGCCACATGTGTTGCATCGTCTGTCTTGTGGCATGGTATGAAATGTACCATCTTGGAAAAACGATCTACAACAACAAATATTGAATCTCGTCCATTCTTGGTCCTTGGTAGTCCCATCACAAAGTCCATTGATATGTCAACCCATGGTGCTTGAGGAATAGGTAAAGGCATGTAAAGTCCATGAGGCATAACCTTTGATTTTGCCCTTTTGCAAGTGACACATCTTTCACATACCCTTTCAACGTCTCTCTTCATCTTAGGCCAATAGAGGTGTTGTTTCAAAATATCCAATGTTTTGCTTACTCCAAAATGATCCATGAGACCTCCTTCATGTGCTTCTCGAACAAGCACTTCTCGAAGGGATCCTGAGGATTGCATAGACGTCCTTCTTTGAATAGATATCCTTCGTGCCTATAAAACTTTTCATATGCACCTTTCTCACAAGCTTTATACTTCTCTTCAAAGTCATGGTCAGTAGCATAACAATCTTTAATATACGAAAACCCAATTAACTTTGAATCAAGAGAATTAAGGAGACACATACCTTTGAGAAAGAGCATCAGCTACAATGTTTTCTTTGCCTTTCTTGTAAAGAATGACGTAAGGGAATGACTCCAAAAAGTCCACCCATTTGGCATGTTGCTTGTTTAACTTATGTTGGCCTTTGATATGTTTTAAAGCTTCATGGTCGGTGTGTATGATG